GGATACAAAACTGTGCAGATATGAAAAATTTGGGGACATCTGCCAAGAATGGTGAGTGTAAGAACCTGGATGCAATTTTTTTTTTTTTTTTATCCCATGACCCATAGGATTGTAGGGATACCATGTGAACTGCAGCCAAAGTAGAAGTGGTGTTTCTTGGGCAAGATAGTCTGACTGAGCCCAACCCTCTCTGGGCCAGTTTTGAATTTAGTTTTTCCTTCTCCTAGACTGGTTGCCAACATTATAGAACCCAGTTTATCATGCTATTTACCCATATCTGGGGGGGGGGAGAAGAGGATTCATACTTTTTTCAAGGGTAATAGCATATAAGTGAATGTAATGGATCCGATCAGAATTCAAACTTGGCTCTCCGATTCCTCAATTCAAGCTGCTATCCATTACTCTGCTATGCCTCCTTTACGGTTAATGAACTAGTGATTAAAGCACTTTCTAAACATTTTCATCTTTGTGAATTATTTTCTCTTCACACACACACACACACACACATGTGTGTATGTGCAGCTTTAAATTTACTGTTTATGGTGGAAGAGTGCTCAATATCAAAGAGCATTTTGTAGATATAAACAGGTATTGAGATATATATATGCTGGCTAAATTTTGAACTAAAATAAAATTGTCTGTCCTGTGTTACGTGTTGATAATTGTAACAAAGGAAAAAAAATGATTTACCACAACACAGAGCTAAATCATAAACAAATGTTTAATTTAATAAAACAGAACATAAAATATATACAGGATAAACAATTGTGGCCTACAAAACAGAAAATAGTTACTGGTGAAGTGTTACAAGGGAGAAGGAAAGGGAATCAAATATCTTTATCACTTTAGGGCTAGTGAAGTAATCTAAGTGCTATATTTGGAAATCCACAAAGGTGTGTAAATAAATATTAATTTTTAGTTTGGTCAATGAAAATTAGTCAAAATTCTATTTACCAAATTTGTTCCATGAAATTCTCTTTTGAGTTTTGGTTGGTCGGCAACTTTTTAGAGATTCTTTCGGCTGGATATAATAGTCCTTGAATCAAAAGCTGGAGTTGATAACAGCAGAAATTTCCATTCATCAACTGACAACCCTTTTCCAAAATCCCATTTTTATAGGGGCTAACACCTAATTTGCATATTTCTAGATTTTTCTCAAATATACTAGAATGATCTAGAATCTTCCAAACATTCTATTTCTAATTTCTCTATTTTACAACTACTTCATGAATGAAAACTTTTTTGTAATAACAAGTAGAACTCGGTGGAATCCCTTATTATAGAAATGTATCCTCGTAACACCTGATTATCCTTCAGGAGCATGAACATTGCAAAACTTGGTTGGTCATAGACAAGTATTGTGAAATTTATTGATTGTTCTAGGGATTTATTGAAAAAATTCTGCTCATCTTAACATATGGTAAATTGTATCACTTTCTGTATATCTAAGCAGGTTGAATATATTCAGACATATGAACTTACAACAGATTATCCAGTTTTTATCTGTATTTGTAACAGTCTTTGAAAATTGGAAAAATGCAATAAAAATTTGACCAGCTGATTTTAGTGGTTATATTTGATACTTGTTTAAATGAATTACTGCTGTATGATGGACTCTCCTGTCAATTTGATGTATGAGGGTCTCGACACATGAAGACACATTTAGTGTAGATGACAGGGTTTTGAGTGGAGCAGGTTGACAGGTTTGATCAAATCTCCATGTTAGATCTTAGATAATGAACATGGACCAAACAAGATTTTTTTTAAAAGTTCTTTATATCTTCATGGTAGATCATCCTCCATTTTCCACTGTCAGCAAGTAGTTTCAAAAGAAGTATCATGACTTCAGATTGTTCTTCATTTTGTATATGAGTAGTGGTTTATATATATATATATATATATATATATATATATATATATAAGAAGAGAGAAACCACATATTTTTGGTTGTAATGTGAATTTTTTAACAAATATATTATGCTTTATTTTTTTAGAATTTTGCTACACATGTTTCTGCTCTCACAAACTTCATCAGGCAAAGAGAGGATATTTCTACATATTATTAAAAGGGATTCATTTTTCTTATGTTTTTTGATGTTAAATATTCTCGATATTAAGGCATTCTCTTTTTTGTCCGTTGGTGACCCAAATATCTTCCTTAAACTGGCAGTGAAAAAATTCTGCATTTCTATTCACTCTGCCACACACACACATATATATATATATATATATAGGCATGTGGCAGAGTGGCTAGAATGTTTGCTTTTTGACCATGGAACCCAGGTTTGAATCTTGACACGGTCAATTTGTCAGGAAGGAGACTGGAGGGGGCGATCCCACCAGGTGGCACATTTGGAAAGTGACTGAAGACCATACCATGGGTTGGCCCAAACGTGAGTGAAATTGGGTAGCTGTACCCTTAGGGACTGTCGATAGTTGTGTTAGCACAGTCACAAGTCATCGTGTCTGAGGGTTTGAGTGTGCTGGCCTTGATCAGATTGTTGTCATGCTAGATAACATTCTTTTCTCAGAAACTGTAGCTAAGGTCTGCTCAGCGTAAGTTGCAGTATAAACCACAGGTGGGCTCTGTTGGTGTTAAACAAATACAAATGTTCCTGAGAAAGCATCTGCAATAGAGATTGGCTAGCCGTCCTAGTAGATAGGTATCCTCGAATACGAGTGGCCAGCTATATATATATATATATATATATATGTGAAAATTTTACCACCAGAAGACTGCATGAACATGAAACTTGGAGTATTTTGCCCTTATAAAAATTCTATTTTATTATGAAAACTCTGGCTTGTGATATTGAGTCCTCCTCTTTTTAAACAAAAGCCTTCTGACTGATTTTATAGTAATGTGTGTCTGCTTGAAATCCTTTTGAAAGACAAAATGCATCGTGTTGAACATTGTGTATGTATATATATATATATATATATATATATATATATATATTTAATCTTTACTCATGTGTGTCTTTTCTCTTTTAAATACTAGTTTAGTATTAATATTGAACAAAGTTTGGGTTTATGTTTAATCTTCTGGTGTTATGCTTGTTGATTACAGCTGTTAACAGCACAAGCTTTGAGGTATCTATTCTCTCTTGTTACTTTAACAATGTTTTAAGTAAATAGTATTTGAATAACAACAGATGAGACTTTTGTCAATGTTTTTCTGAACATGACACTAATGTAGACAGTGTGGCCTTATTTAAGCTTTTGTTATGCAGGTATCCCACGCTTTTCAAAATTTTGCTTTGTATTACTTTTCCTTTCAGGAATGATCTACATTAGTATAGGTTTTACTTGTTGTTCAAAATAGCATAAAAACTAACTAGCAACCACTATTAATTACTTTATTTTTTTATCATTTCACCCCAAGCAAGGTGATAAAGCCATTGAAACACAAGAGGTTACTAAGAGTGAAAGAAAATGAGAAAATATTATTGAGTGAAAGGACAAAAAAAAAAAAAGGTGGTTTTGAAAAGACAGAGGGCAATTAACATGTTTAAATTTATGAAGATTGTACTAGACAAGAAAGCTTCAAGAGTTCTATGGGTGAAAGATGTGTGTGAAGAAACTATTAGAAGGGAAATTTCACTATTTTAGAAGTACAATGATGAGAGCTAACTGCCAATCTAGTATTGTGCTTAAATTCATGAAGTTGAGGTACCAAAGAGGAAAGTAATTATTTTGAAAATACAAAAATGTGGCACAAGGTCAAAGGGGCAAGATAGGGGGAAGGCTGGTTCACAATCTGCCTTGAACTTGGTGACTATAATTACTGACCCAAACATAGCATAGTATTCCTTATACCCAACCACCATTGTAACATAGCTTCCCTGTAAATTTTCTATAAATATGAACTTTCCTCATTGAGGTTTCATTTTTAAAAGTTGTCATTTTTATTCTCCAACCACCACAGACAAATTGTACATATGGGAACTGGTTAGGACTCCAGAGAGACTCTTGAGGTATTATGGGGGCTGCAGTATGAATGATAAATAAGAATGTGTTGTGAAAGTGGCTGAAGCTGTGATGCTATATCAGGACTGACAACATTGCAGATTCTTCTTTGGATTATATCAACAATCTCAAGGTATTTTTGCAGGAGTTCTAGGCTAGATTTGGCAGCAATATTCAATGCATGGATGAATGGTAGACTTATAAACATGTAAGATTCTGGTGAGAAAAAATTGTCCGGCACAACACAGAGATAGAGAAATTCTTTTTTTTTTTTTTGGATGGTGGTTTGGGATGTTGGGGTTGTTCTCAGCCACCCACTGATGCAGCAAACTTTAGTAAGTTTGACAGCTTAATGTCATTATTACTTTTTCTTTATCACTGAAAACATTCTGCTGAAAACGCCTTAAATCTATGAACCTTTTAAAAATTGAATGCATGATTTCTCTGAAATCTGTTAATCTAAGGATATCCCCCCATCCTTTGGGAACTTTTGGAAATTTCTCAGATAAATTAATGGCGATTACTTCCTTGCTTTCCTCTATTTCATCTTAGGAAATGTTCCAGATGAGCACTATCATTTCACCTTAGGAAAGGTTTCCTGGGAATGCCATAAATTGTTCCTCTCCAGAAAAAGTTTCTTTGAACTGTTTCATTAGCACCATCTTGTGTTAGGCTAAGCTAGGCTCAGGAGGATAACACAAGATCAAGTGTGTGTGGGGAAGGGGAGTATATGGGTAGAAAGATTCTGTTTTGAAAATCAGCATTTTATTTTATTTTTTTAACTTTTTTTTATTTTATTTTTTTACTTGGATTAAACACCAGCTAATGCCAATGGGAAATACATAATTACAGGATTAGATGACATATGGGATCCCCCCCTCAAACTTGGATTTTAACTGTGAATATAAAGAAAATCTTGTTGCATGGTACCTAAAGAATTATTGCAACTTAATCTCTGTCCCCTATTCAAAGCTGCAGTTCGAAGCAAGTATAGCAAATTCATGAAATTCTCATTTGTGATGAAAAGTGTCATGGATGCCGTTGAGAGGCGTATGTGCGCACCTTGTATGTCATTGGGTGAGACAAGTGTGCGCCTGTTATGCCGTTATGCTATTATACCATTAAGAAAAGCGCCATCGAATATATTACTTCTGCCATGTGGCACATCCTGTCAGTGCCATGTCCAGTCTTTCGTTTTTTTTTAATGTTTTCTGATGCAAAGTGATTTCTTTGATTTCATGTAAATAAAATTAAAAACTAATTATTCAGTTTCATAAATTGTTTAAAAGCTGATGTAAGATGCTATCTATAAATTTTGAAAAATCATTTTCATTGCTGCTATTATTCAGAAAATGGATATGTCTTTGTTGTAACCACATATTTGACTGCTCTGTTCTGTAGCATTTTTTTTCTTCAGTTGTAAAATTTTCAGAGGAGTCATTTATCATTCCAAGAGTTATTTAGATTACTGATGTGTTCTACAGCCTCCTGTAACATATTCAACACTGTGACTCAAATAAAAAAGCATTAGAGTCGACCTGATGAAAGGACACATCTTTTATATTCCCTGTTATGACTGAATGCAAACAGTACACATGATGAAGTAAATGCAAGTTATTAATGACTCATGACTCATTAAATACAAGACATAACAATATGACTTTGATCAGGGAAAGCACAAAAGTGATCAGTAAATGTTCTAAAACAGGCAAAGCAGCATTCAAATTTGGTTGTAACATTTACAAGGTATTCTTTTGTCCCTGCTTCTGATTGCTCTGAACTTTCAAAGTATGTAAAGTGAAGTGCTACAATCAGATTGCTGGACACGGACAGATGATTTGAAATGAGAAAGCCTTCTCTCTTTATTGACTCAGACTAACTGAAATAAGGAACCAGTGTCCCTTGTTTGACCTCTCTCTGTTCCAATAAAGCCAGAGTTCTCAACTATAGTTAGTCATGCTGTGTTTTTCCACAATCACCACAAAACAGAACATTGCTAGCCTTTCCAATAGAACCTGATTTCTTTTGGTATTCAATTCATTTAGAAAAAGATCAGTTTTATGTTTGTATAGTTAAGAACAAGTCAACCATCTCTTTTTCTGCAATTTAAAAAAAACAAAACAAAAAGAAGCCCTTTTCATATGGATTATGTTTCTGAAAGGTTTAATAGATGAGCCACAAGGTATTTCAGAAATGAGTTCAATTGTCTTAGTAGTAACTCTTTGAATTATGATGACTCATCTTAAAATAATAAATATTTTTTTTGTACACCTGAAGAAGTTGGTAAAACAGACTCGATGGGAACATTTTGCTAATGCTGCAAGCAATCAGTTCAGTCATGTGAACAACTTTTGGAATGGTAATTACCCTTCTCAAACTTACAGAATCTACCTTTAAACACTTGAACATGGCCATGGAATAGATTGGCTTGATTCTTGTGCAATAGAAAGAATGAGTTCAGTTGTCAAAATAATCTTTGGAAATCAAATAGAAAAAAATTCTTTCAGATATGCAGCTGCCGATATTTTTTTTTTTTTTGTATACGTTGAATTTTTTTTTCTTCCTGTATGTGTGTTGTTTTTGTGCAGTGTTTTTTATGTTGATGTTTTTTTTTATTATTATTATTATATCTGTCTATATTTCTGAGATTAGGTATTGCAATTATTTACATTATTTGGGCTGTTCTCCTCATCTTCATTGCCATATTCACATGAATATGGCAATAAAGATGAGAGCAATAATGTTTTTTATGTTTGCTTATATATATATATAACAGATTTCTAGTACTGCCAAATCTAATCAGACATTTGAGGAATAAAAAATATGGGATCATATTAAACATAAGATACAACAATATCCACGTTTAAAACATAAAATGTAAGGTACCTTTCGACCGACACATTTTCAAACACAATCGTCAGTAATCTAAAATGGAGTACTAACAAGAAAATTTTTTATTAATACCGTAATAAAACAAGATGGTAAGGGGGGGGGTTATTTTACTTCAAATCATGTAACCGTTCCCCTAAATAAGGCCAACTTAAACTTCATCTCCGTTTATGCAGGAGGGCGACCCACGTATGTTGATAATAACAGACTCCAAAATGTCGAGGTGGAGTCTGTTCCTAGCCCTATGCAATACCGAAAAGAAATGAGAGAATACTCAGTCCTACAAACACCAGAATTTAATAGATGTTCACCGATACTTAGAGGCATGAGTCTGCGAACACCCGGATGTCACAAACTCATGCCTGCACACGCAGCCCGGGACATGTTAGGCGATTCTAACCTCAAGCCTCTGGATAGTTTTTTGCCCACATAGTTGAGCCCGCATCGACATTTAAATTGATAAATAACTAAATTATTATGGTAGGTAGGCAAAACATCCTTACGGCAAGGGGGGGAAGGCCCTCTTGGTAGTAAATATATTCCTGACTGTAACGGCATTATAACATCGTTTAATGGATGAAGAGATCTTATTGGCATATGTCTGACTCTCAGGACCAATCCAAGGGAGCCTGACATATATAGGACATTTGGAAGGCCCATATTTCTTAATTTCATTGAACTTCCTGATCTTGCGTTCAATGACAGTTTTAATAACTGATTCGGGGTAACCGTTCTTAAGATAAATAATATATATATAATGTTTTTCTTTTTTTTTTTGTGTTGAAGTTTCTTGTTTTTGCTTTTTTGTGACATTTTAATATTATTTGACCTGTACAGCATTTTTATTATTTTCATTATCATTCAATTGCTGTGGTCTAAATGAAAATCTGGTTATAACAATAAATGTAGAAAATCAAATAAAAGTAATTTAACCAATAGTTGTTATGACTATTAGTGCTACCAAAACATTAGTACCAAAATGACCAGAATGACAATGCTAATTGAGTAGAAACTGAAGTATAAGTAATAGTCTTTACTAATAATTTTATTTTTTGTAACATGTTGACATTTTAGAGATGAAGCAAATATCTGATTCCTGAAGCTATGACATTAATTTTTTTTCTTACAAACACACAAACCAAACAATAGTCAAATCGATGTTATCAAAAAAGTGCAATGATTAGTGTGTAGATTTCTAATTTCCAATATGGAACTTGGATTTTATCCACTTCTGGTGGTGGTGGGGGGGAAATTACCTTTCCCATATTTAGGGCCAACAGCATGAGTAAAGTAGGATTAAAATTTGAACCAGACCTGACTACCCTTCAATTTTTATTCTGTACTTTTATTGCGCTATATATATATATATATATATATATATATATATATTCATTGATACATGTTTCATTAAATAATATAGACAAGTTGTGTCTATTTATTTTAAGTAAGTTCCTTTCATATTGTCTAATAAGCTTAATGACATTATCATTGAAAGACGAAAGGAAATCACCATATTGATACATGTTTAAATCTGATCTAAGCTTTTGGCTTACATAAGCCATTATCAAAGATGACAATTACATTTCAATATATCAAACAATACATGGACGAAACAATAATGATAGTCAATTTTTGTTGCATGAAAAATTTCAAAGCAACGACAAACTTGTATATACGAGATGCGGAAGTTAAAATCGCATCACAGATTGTGATGTCACGCATGACCACACGAGAGTGAAAACGAGAAGTATTAAGTATGGGAAGCCGTTGGTAAAAACCAAAGGCCTCAGTTATCAATTATAGGCATTTAAGAATATTTGTTGAGATTTCGTAGTTTATTTTGTTCAGGTTAGGTTTCAACTGTTTCATATATTTAGCTGTAAGAATTTTTAGTTTTTGTTTATATGTTTAAGTATAGTTATGTTTTCAATATATATATATATATATATATATATATATATATATATATATATGTGTGTGTGTGTCTGTGTGATGGATTAAGCCTGACAATTATTTGATATATATTTTCTATTTAGATGTTATTTTTATAGATACAATTTATTTAAGTCTGTTTTTTTATTAAACAGTATTAATTACATTTACAGTCCTAAATATTTGAGAAATTTTTATGCATTCTCTAACTAGAATTTAACCTGTGTTCCTATACGGAAACTGTCATTTGATCTGACGTGCTATACCATTCAGCTACAGAGAAACGTCTGGTTAGCAAAGTCCAAATTACTGTTTATAAACACACAATCTTTAATTTTTCTTGATGTAAACAATGACAACATATCTATAAAAGTAACATATAAACAGAAAATATATTAAATAATTGTCAGACTTAATCCATTTCATATGACTGTTTTCTCTCAATCCCTGATGAAGCTTTAATAAAATTGAAACATGTTAGATTGATAAACATTTCCTATTTGTTCTTTATCTTATCAACCTGTTGGATTCTGATCCATATTTGATCTACATCTTATCTGTCCATCTATCTATATAAAGAAACACTGTTTAGTGTTATTTTATTATTATTATTATTATATTTTTTTTTTTTTTTTAAACCAAGTCACCTTTCAGACAACCAACACTTCTTCAGGGACAAATGTTGGCAAAATTATTATATCAAAATTGATATGAATGGATAAATAATATGGAAGAAGAATAGTTTATCTAAAACGCATAAAGTAACGATTAAAATATACATAAGAAAAATTGTAAATACTCTAGCGTGAATATAAAATATGAAAGAAATCAATACTCATGATCCTCTGAATAAATAAAGTGACCAAAGAAAATTCTACATAAAGGAGGTTGCTGTAATTTAATACATACAGCTTCCAACACTCACAAATGGTATTTAGAATGAGCCTTATGCAAAATAGAGAATGAGTTTATAGAAAAATTGAAAGAGTATAGCTCATTCTCTAAAAGGTGTTATCCAATTGCAGATTGCGAAACATGACTGCAATTATGATGATTAAATCTAATTAATGCAGGTACATATTGACCCTACATTTTACGTATCTATTCATACCAATTTTGATACAATAATTTTGCCAATGTTCGTCCCTGAAGTATTGGCTAAAAGGCACCTTGGTTAAAAAAATTTTTTAAAAATGAACACTGTTTGTTTAAAACAATTTATGCATTCTGCAGTATTAAATTATTTAAATATGTTTTTGCGTGTGAAGACTTTACTTTAAATATGTCTAATCTGAATTTTAGAAAAAAAAATTAAGTTGACGATTGAAGAGGAAATATAAATGCAAATGTCTAAATTTATGCTCTACCCATTCTACAAGACCTTCAATAACCTGAATTCATTGGTATTTTCTGACAGAATGTCTGTAAGCTGCAATTTTGTAGTCTTTCGGGAGTCAAATAAACATTTATCTCCATAAAAATAATCCCTCTGTCTGACATTTTGTTCTTGTCAATTTTTATCTTAAGATAATGATATCAATTGTCAAAAAAGAATAAACCAATTTCAGCTTAAATATCATGTCCTTTTGCGATAAACTGTTGGCCCCTAAAAAAAAAAAAAAAAAAAAAAATAGTTTCCAATCATGTGTAATAAGTTAGTGTTTATTTGTTCCTTAAAGCTCTTAAATAAATACATGTTGTAAATGTGAAACAGCAGCATTCAGAATACACTCCCCAACATTTTTTTTAGGAAAGAGGTTTTAGGTAGATAAAATTCCAGAAATTTAGTTTTAATGGGGAACAGAGAGTGTGAAGGAATATTGGGATAGCAGAAAGCAGCTTTCCAAAAGCTAAGCAAAGTAACAGAAAAAGGAATTTTGTTAGAAACAAGGATAAGATTATGAAACAGTTGTGATATATGGCAGTAAGTGCTGGACAATCTCTTTGCAGATGAAGGGGGAGACTTGAAGCAAAACATAAATGTCGTTCTATAGAAGGATGCTGAGAATTCCATGGACAGAACATGTGAGCAACAATGAAGTTCTAACATTGGAAGCTAAAAGGACACTTAACATCAAGAAGAAATACTTGAAATTCTAGGGTACATAATGAGGAAAGAGGGCTTGGAAAACTTAATACTCACGGGATAAATTGAAGGCAAGAGGGACTGGAAAACAATGCATAACTTATCTGGCGAGCTTGAGTGAATGGATGGCAGAGCAGGATTTGGGAGAGATTGGAATTAAGACAGTTTATTAAGAGCTAGAAAAGACAGGAAATTGTGGAGAGCTATGATTGCCAATATCCTGAAGGGACATAGCACATAGAAGATATAACCTAACTGGATTGATATTTTGAAAGTAAATCGTAGTCAAAAATGTCTATTGTCAAAAACTCTGAAAAACTTTATATAGAAATGATAGTTTTTCCTAGTTTTTTTTTTTTTTTGACATTCATAAAATATTGGAACAATTGCAGCTATGAGTAAATGAATCCACCCACCTTGAGAATCTGGCCACTGCTAAATAGCATAAAATACTGGAATTCAGAAACAGATTGAATACCTGAATCTGAGGTTACTTTAATGTTAAGGTTGGGCTAATTCAGCAAATAAGACGTTGACTTCCACACAAGTGTTGTGTTGGTATGTCTGCAAGGCCTACATGACCTTTCAGTGGGTCAATTTTCAATTTCTTTTCTTTGAAGATTATTGGAAGTGGGATGCTATGATTGATTGTTTATTAGATCAGGGTACACTAGAACCATATTTAAAAAAACAAAAAAACTTTAAATATCTTTTTTTTTGTCGTCTATTTCATATTCCTTTTAGAATTTCTACTGTTTCATTTATTTGTCTTTGTCTCTCTTTCTGTCTTTGTCTCTCTTTCTGTCTTTGTCTCTCTTTCTGTCTTTGTCTCTCTTTCTGTCTTTGTCTCTCTTTCTGTCTTTGTCTCTCTTTCTGTCTTTGTCTCTCTTTCTGTCTTTGTCTCTCTTTCTGTCTTTGTCTCTCTTTCTGTCGTCGTCTCTCTTTCTGTCGTCGTCTCTCTTTCTTTCTTTTTACATATACAGAGCTGTGCCATGTATTCGTGTGGGTCATGTGGGACTCTGGGTTGTAAAATGAACTCTGCTACCAAACGACACACCACATCATATATGAACCAATGTTAAAACAAAGTTGCTTGTACCAAAATCAAGATATAGTGTTGTGACCCTGGGACAACAAGGGAAATGAGGCTTAGGGTAGCCAACATGATAACTATGTTAAATATGAGAACACCCGGATATGTATCCATTTATTTCCTAAATGTAATGTCTTTTCCTTAATAGCATTACAATTTACAATTGTTTCTTGCTCCTTATCTTCTTAAACAGCAACTATCACCAAGGATTTATAGTAATATTGTTCAATCACTCGGTTCATGCTCCCTTCCAGCCTTTTGAACAGTAGAGGTTTATTCTTTGTTTTCAGTTCCTTCTGCTAAAGCAGTGGTTCTTAACCACATGGCCACAATTTTAAGTGGACCACAGAAAAATTTTGGGTTTTGTGAGTGGAGAGGCACAAGTTCAATGAAATGGGTCACAGTTCTACAACATTGTTGCCCTTTATATTTTAGTTCTAATAAACTTAAATGATGCAATTGATGTTTTTATTTGCAAAATTACTTCCATTTACTTAATGTTTCACACATATTTACCAACTTGCAATAGCCATATATTAATTTCCTTATTTTTTTGTGGCGCAAGTTCCCCCCCCTTAAAAAAAAAAAATTAATTTCCATTATTAATTATGCCAAATTGTTAATATGAAATACCAGTACAATAAATGAAATATAATCAGTCTTTGGATAATCTTGTTTATACGGAAAGCTCACTCCAAAATGTTTGAGCAACAGTTGTGCGTTTTGATGTCAATACTTCTATAATGAGGTTATGAAAAAATTGATTTTATAAAATATAGACCTCTGATAGGCTCAGCCATAATGAATAGTGTTTTGCAGTTGGAACAGCTGTAAAGATTATTACATAAGCAATGAATAGGCATTTAGTTAAGCACAAAGTCATCATGACAAGGGAAAAAAGAAAAAAAAAACAACGCACAGATATCCTGTATTAAAAATAATGAACACCTGAAGAAGGTCAGAGAGTACTTGGTCGAAATGTATTTATGGTAACATCTATAATAATCAAGATGGGAACAGTATATCAAATAATGTATATTGACAGTAACTTGTTTGAAAAATGAAGTACAAAAATAATAAAAAAACTATATGAACCTGCCATGATAATCCAATATTGAGACCATCTAACATTAGGTTTTAAGGCCCCAAAACACATCTTGGTTTGGTTTGGTTTGGTTTGGTTGTTTTAGTTTTAGCAGCATATCAACATCTCTATGGGTCATTTAATGTCAAACTTTTTGTATACAATTTTATGTTTTGAACTACTATTTTGTACATAATTTTATACTTTCAGGATATACATATATTATTTAGATATATAGTTTGTATATGATCTATTGTAGATATTGTGTTTTAGTATAAACCTATTTTAGGTAGGGCATTATGTTGATGGTTTCAGTATTTTCAAATAGTTTCCCTTTCCCTTGTATTTGTGTCTTAGAGGGGCTTCATTGGTTGGGGGGTACCCATCTGCAGAGGGGCAGTTGGTGTATTCCAGAGTTCTAATCGGCAGGGTGGACATCACTTTGCAATGGTGGCATAGTAGATATAGATGTTGGTTAAACTTGTGTTGTTGCTATCTATCATCTAGTGATTGATTAAAAGTTCAATCCCAGGATCACAAAGACAGTGGTTCAGTAGAAATGAACAATAACTGACCTCACAGGGACAAAATAACACAATAATAACACATATCCCATATCAGCTAGCTAAACAATGAACATCTGAAGATGGTTAGAAAGTACTCGTTGAAATGTTATCTCTGACCACATCTATAAAAATCAATGAGAAAACAATAGTTGGAATAAAGTATAAAGGAATACATTTTGAATAAATAAATTTTGAAATGGAGTAGCTGTAGAGTGAGTGGCCATCGTTAAATGTAAATAAATGGAAGAAATGCCCAATAAACAGAATTGACAAAATTTTGTAATAAACAAGAAAAAAAAACAGGACTAAAATGAATATAAAGCAAGCAAACAATATATGCAAGGTAAATTAACAATAATAAGACAAAGCAACAGTAATATGGTGAAAAGTTCATAAACCAAGAGCGATTTCAGATAAGTGAACGTAATGTTCTGACTTTGAGACAAGACAGACCAGGACTGAGCCATATGAAACTGAGAACTGGTTTATTTTATTGGCTAGGAAGAAATTCCAGCATGCATTTGTGTGCTTCTGCCTATAAATTGGGGAGGGGAAAAGTGTTTTGCAGTCATTCCTTAATGGAATCGGAACCAACAATAAAAATGTTGTAATGCACAAATTTCAGATTATGATTGTAAAATTTGCATGTCAGTATTTCATTCCTTTTTTTTTTTTTTTTTTGTCGATTCTCCTGTTTTTATCACCCCCCCTCCATATTTTTTGTTTTTCATTTTTTTCTTTTCGTTATTTTTATTTGTTTTTTCTTGTTTTGCAGGCTGTTAAAGATCCCAATGTTGGACATGCAGCCAAAAGTTCTGCTGATAATGTAATCAGAAGGGGGTCCAAGTCCTTCTGTTGTGGAAGGTAAGTAAATAGAAGTGAAAGACCTTTTCACATAAAATTCTCTCTCTCTCAATTTTTTTTTTTAATGATTAAGAGTGATCTGATCTTTGGTAAAAGTAGTTAATTAGTTGACAAAGCCTATTTCATAATTATTTTTTAACGAGCATTTATTTAAAGAAACTAACTTTTGGTACATCTGCCATACTGTATGTACAAGATGTGTTTGTTGTAATAAAAAAAAAAAAAAAAATTCCTTCTTAGGAAAATGATAACTTAGTCTTTTTTGTAGTACTCTTCCATAGAATGTTATACACTTATTCATACAAAATCATCTTTAGGGATCACCATCAGCTGCTTCATCACATTCTCTATAAATTTCATCCATAGTCTGAGATCTTTTCTTTTTCAATAGAAAATTTTAGATTTGAGAAAAGCCAGTTGCAAGCATCTAAATCTGGACTTATATATATATATATAATTTTTTTTTTTTTTTTTTTCTTAAATTAATTCACCCCAAGCAAGGAGATAATGCCACTAAAGAGAGAGAAAATACTTAAGAAGGAACCAGAAACCCAGTATTAAACGGTGAACAAGGTATAAACCTCTACTCCTGTTCAAAAGACCGGGTAAAAGTGTGAACCTATATACTCCAATTGAGGAGGAAAAAATGAATAGAGCCAAGTTTCAAATTCCAGTCGAATTCATTAAATTCACTTATGTGCTAATACCCTTGGGAAAGGTATGAATTCTCTTCTTCTCCCCTGATTTATTTATTAACACAAGCAAAACAATTTATTATAATTTATAATAAAAAGAAGGCACTGTGGAGTAATGAATAGCCGCTTGGATTGAGGAATCAGAGAGCTGAGTTAGAATTCCAGTCGAATCCATTACATTCACTTATGTGCTAATACCCTTGGGAAAGGTATGAATCCTCTTCTTCCTCCAGCTATGGGTAAATAGCAGGACAGATCTGGTTCTATAGTCTCTGATGGCAACTGGTCTACTGCAAGAAAGAAATAGCAACCTACTACAGGAAAAAATCTGCCTCATCACCAAAATCCGAAATCACCATGGCCACAACTTCTTTCTGATGATGCCATTTGTGAGAGTGCAAAATGGAGCCATTCACTGCTGTTTATTGTTCTTTCTATATAAAAATAATCTGACATTTCAGCAGATTTGTTTTCTGATATTCAGTTGGCAAGGTTATAATTTTCTGTTGGACTGTATTCTCATCATAATGTCAAGTAATGGCAAATTGGAAATTTGAGATGCATCATGTGACAACTATTTTAGATATTACTCTCATCCTAAAGGAAAGTTCAGGACTTAATTTCTAAAGCTGGTTTTGTCTGTCAGTCATAATTTGAAAGCAGCTATTTTCTGTTGTACAAGAAATAAAGAAACAAATATCATTTCCATTTGAGGAGGAGAACAAACAAGTGCTTAGATTGAAAGAAAATGGTCAATTATCAGGCATGGAAATGTCAGTCAGAAATGAGGAGAGACGTGTGAAAGAGTTCCAGATTGAGAGACCCCAGTAGAGACTGATACCCAAGGAATATTGATCTTTCTTGAAATCTTTTTTGAATCTGACACTTTTGGAAGAGGCAAATGATATTTTAGAATATGTTAAAAGGGTGTGCGTAAATGGGGTGATAACTAAGAAAAAATAATTTGCAATATTGTGCATTGAAGGAAAAATTTTATAATTTAAAACTAGTTTCCAATGGTCTGCTTTGTATCTATTATCTTTCTTGTGACTTTATTCAGTCAGTACTTTGAGCTTATCGCCCAGTTCACACTCCTCCCTAGTCTTTTGAACAGGAGTAGAAATATCCCTTGTTTCCTGTTTAGGATTGAGTTTCTTCTAAAGTCTTTTCCTTCTCTTTCACTTCTGGTGGGCCCATTGTCTGTTGGTGGCATTATTTCTTTAGTTGGAGTGGCGCCTCTTACTCTGTAACCCTCTACCTCGAGTGGCTCTTGGGCCTTGTATAGGGAGAATATCATAGTAAAAAAAAAAAGTCATTCTACTGATAACATGTAAACTAGTATAACCTGCCTGCTGTATGGATGGGTGGTTGGCATCTAAACCAGCTCCCCAACTAGTTTGTGAGTAGGGTGACATATCACCCTCCAAGACAAAAAACAAGAGCTGTCAAAGGGCAAATGAGGTACTTATAGGAGCCAATGGCCAACACACACACACACACACAAATTGGGAGTGAGCTTTAAACCCAGTAGACTTTCAAAGGAACCTCTTTGAGAATATGGCCACTCATCAGAATTGGTGAAATTTTAGGGTATGCTCGGTGGTGATGAAATGTTACTAGTTCTGTTTTGGAGGTATTAAATGATACCAGTTACTCTCCCCCTCCCCCCTTGAGCAGTGAAAGTTTTTTTCAGAAAAGAGATCAGCTTCCAGGTACTGGTCATCTAAATATTTAGAGGTGCACCCATACACCGAGGTGACATCTGGGCACATATTCACTAAATATCTGAGAATGTTCTTAGGCAGATTATTAATATAAAGCAGGAAGAGAATAGGATTGAAGAGAGGTACTTCACCAGTATTGACGTCTCAGAGGACTGGCCATTAATGATGCCCTTCATAGACCTACCAGACAGGAAGGACTTGATAACTTTCCAAGAGATACCTTAGCTGGCAAGTTTGTGTAGCAATCTCCTGTGTCACACCTTGTCAAAGGTCTTGGAGATAATCTAGAGTGATCACACAAGAGGAATATTGAACAAAACTTCCTATTCACTCTTTAGGGCTATACCCGCTCTCTCTCTCTTCTTGTACCTGCCATGGCATTAAGAGGGGATTATTTTTTACAAAGCCTATCTGCTTCTTCACTGAGCTAGGATTTATGCCTGCATTACTTGACTCAAAGATTGAACTTATAACTTTCAGATAGGTTTTTATCGGCCTTTATGTATGACTCACTCCTGTATGATTTTTTTTTTTTTTTTTTTTAGCTTTTATTCTCTGTTGTTTTTCTCATTAGTGTCCCTTATCTGGTGTTGATATTTATGCTTGGCTTACTGATGGGATTGCTAGCATAGCATGTATGTTGTTATTAATTATTATTGTCCATTGTTTTGATTTGCTTTCACCAGGGATAAATATCTACACCCTTTTTACACAAACATTAATATGTACACCTGCAGGATAAAAGGTTTAGATATAAAGTTTTTCTAATCAGATTTTTTACCTGTAAGTTGCTTGAAAGAAATGTTGATATTTTTATTTGTGGCTGTATAGAATTGTTTTTTATTTAGTCATTTTTAAATTAATTTTTACCCTTACCTCCCACAGACTCTTTCTCATTGATCTCCAGTGTGAAACACATCTTATAGCGTTATATATATATATATATATATATATATATATATATATATATAGAGAGAGAGAGGAGGCATGATGTAGTAATGGATAGTAGCTCAGATTGAGGAATCGGAGAGTCAAGTTCAAATTCCAGTCAAATCCATTACATTCACTTACATGCTAATACCCTTGGGAAAGGTATTAATCCTTTTCCCCCCAGCTATGGGTAAATAGCATGACAGACTGGGTTCTATAGCCTTGTATGGCAACTGGTCTAGGAGAAGGACAACTCTGAATTTAAAACCTGTGGAGAGTCATTTGAAGGTCTGCTTCTAGGAAAGTTGGTTCATGTCGTGCTAGACAATTTTCTCTCTAGAATCTATCTTAAATTTATAACTTAAGTATAGCATACACCCATCCTTTGAATATTGCTTCCACATCTGGTCTGGTGTTTCTACTATGTATTTAGAGTCTTGATGAAATATAATGAATAGTCTGCAATGTCATTGGTCCTAATCTGGCATCTTGTCTTCAGCCACTTTCCCACTGCCATAATAAAGCTTCTTTGTGCCCTTTCTATAAATACTTTTATGGTAATCGTTCTGATGAACTTTCCTCTATTGTACCTTGGTTTTATGAATTTAAATGCAGTACTAGATTGGCAGAAAGGTCTCATCATTTAAAGCTGAAATGTGAGATGCAACCATAAATTCTTTGTTAATAGTTTCTTCTTTCACACTGTAGAACTCTTTTGGATTCTTACTTTCCTGTCAATTTTGATCTATGAAAATTTAAGTGCAACGTCAATCGTTATCTTTAGTTTTAATTCCTGTACATTTATTGTTCTCACTCCTTGATATTTTTTTTTTTCTTATATTTTCTAATACTTGTTTACCTTTTGTATCTTAGTGGCTTTATTGCTTTGATTGGGCTGAAATGATTAAAAAAAAAAAAGTGTATGACCAAGTGGTTTGAATGTTAGCATCCCAACCATAAAACCCAAATTTGAACTTATCCATGATCAGTTTGTCATGAAGTTAACTTCTAGATAATAATAACCTGGTGAGATGACCCCAGTGAGGCACTGTAGGGAAGTGCTTGAAAACCATATCATGGGTTGACTTCGGCTTTGTGAGTGAAAATGAGTATATGAAAATGTTTGAGAGTCATAATGTATCTTATAAATTTCAAGTCTCTGTGATTTTTAAGTAGTCTTTAGACCAGGCCACTGCTGAACCACAGAAAATGCTGAATGAGAGAAATCCCCCCCGCCTGCCCCAAAATAAGAAATGACAAAGCTCTATGTAAACATAATCTGTCCAGCTCATTCCATATACAGTGTCACCCGGATATAAGAGAGTTGTCGGGACCGGAGAAGAAGTCTCTTATATCCGGGTTTCTCTTATATCCGGGTTTGGCCTATTTTATATATATTAACACAGGCTCTAATTTGAGACCAGAGAAAATCTCTCTTATATCCGGGTTTCTCTTATATCAGGGTCACACTGTATATATTTCTGTATTATCAAAGGTAGATCAAAACTTAAAGCAGGATACAAAACAATCATTAATGCTTCCAAACAAGGTTTTATTGTTTCTTGCAATAAAAATGGTGGGAAACCTAAAAGATCTAGAATTAGCTAAAAAAAAAAAAAAAAGAAACCCCATGTAAACATAATCTGTCCAG